CTAGATGTCCATAATGTATTTTTTCTAAAATATGTTGCCTACTTTTTTTTGGAACTATCAACTTCTGCCCCTTGTACACAAGACCATTAATGACATTGATTTCACCTCGAAATTTATAATAAAACTTTAAATTGTTTGGAATTTCACCATAATTTGGCCACTCTTTTTTAACATATTGCATTAATAAGCTAAGTTCTTCATCTTCTTTTGTATTATTTTTGAGCTCCTCAATTCTTTCATCAGTTGCATTTAATTGCATGGAAATTAAACAGACTTGTGCATCTATTTCTAGATCTAAATTTTCATCAAATATTTTATTTTCAAATGCTCTACTTAGAGTATCGGCTAATATTAATTCTTTCCCCGGTTTAAATACCAATTCAAAGTCGTATTTTCTTAATTGTATTAATATACGTTGCAGTCTCGCAGGACAGTCATTAAGAGGTTTTTTTATAATATGAATTAAAGGGCGATGGTCGGTTTCTACTATAAAATGTTTACCATATACAAATTGAGAGAATTTTTCTATACCAAATTGAACACCAACTAATTCTTTTTCTATTTGACTATAGTTTTCTTGAGCCTGTGTAAAAGATCGGGAAGCAAATGCACAAGGCTTGCCCTCTTGAATCAAAACAGCACCCATTCCTTTTTTACTAGCATCTACTGAAATTGTAGTTAATTTGTTTACATCATAAAATTGTAAAAAATGACTATCACAAACCATCTCTTTAATTTTTTCAAATGCTGTCTGATGATTATTATCCCACACGAAAAGAACATCTTTTTTAAGTAAAACTCTTAAAGGTGCAGTTAGTTCCGACAAATTTTTAATAAATTTATTTATGTATGTAATACAACCAAGAAATCTTTGTAAGTCAGTTTTATTTTCAGGTCTAGGCATATTTTTTATAGCCTCTACCTTAGAACCATCTGGCTGTAAGCCCAATTCAGAAATTTCATGACCCATATATTTTACCTTATTAACTAAAAATTGACATTTACTTTTATTAAATTTAATATTGTAAGAAGAAGCTGTATCTAACACCTTTTTTAAAATTATATTATGTTTTTGAGGTGTATCAGCATAAATAATTATATCATCTGAATAAATGCTACAACCCTCCATATTTCCAAAGATTTCAGTCATATATTGCTGAAACACTTCAGGACTACTTGACAATCCATAAGGCATACGTAACCAGCAATATCTCCCCCAAGGTGTACCAAAAGTTGTTATTTTTGTGCTTTCTTTATCTAAAGGAACTTGCAAAAATCCTTGTGTTGCATCAAGGGTAGTAAAATATTTTGCTCCGGAAAATTTAATAGTTAATTCTTCAAGAGTAGGTATTTTAAAATAATGTCGTTTAACCCACTTATTTACTTCTATAGGGTCTAAGCAAATTCTTAAGTCCCCATTAGGTTTTCTCACTATTACAAAAGGATTAACCCACTCTGTACTTTCATTTACTTTCTTAATAATTTTTTGTTTTTCTAACCCACTTAAAACATTTTTTAATTTTGCTTGAAGAGCAAAAGGTATTTTACGAATTGGATGGACTTTAGGAATTGCTCCATCTTTGAGTTCAATTTTATACGGCTTCTTTAGACAGCCTATACCTTGAAAGATGAATTCATTTTTCTTTAATAAACAGTTAAGTTCTTCACTAAATTTCTTTATACAAACTGTTTTATCAACATTGTCTACTCTTTTTATTAGATCCAAATCTATACAAGTTTTTAAACCCAAAATTGGTACACTATTTTCTAAATCAACAATGAAAAAAGTAATTAAAAAAGTATTCTTTTTATAGTGACATTCCAAATCAACTTTTCCCAAAATTGGTAATGAATCTTGTGTATAGGAACACAAATTGACAGTAGTTTTAACTATTTTTGTAGGATTTATGTTAATTTTATACAATAAATTAACAGGGATAACATTTACCATTGCTCCTGTGTCTAGCTTAAAGTTGATCATATTTCCCTTCTCTAGATTCAATGTTGTTGACCACACCGACTCCCCAGAAGTTCCTGAGATACCATTTATTTGAGTAGGCTGATTCAGTGGTAAAACTACTTGATTTGTAACCTCCACTGTATCTATAAACAGAAAATTATCTTGAGAATCTGAGCTAGTATCACAAAAATTATTATCTATAAAATGAACATTTTTTTTATTTTGAAAATATCTACCATTATTTTGAAAAGAATTTTTCATAAATTTTTGATCTTTTGGTTGATTGTTGAATGCATTATTTCTTTTATTCTTATACTGAAAATTACGAGATTTACTTGCAAAATTAGAAGAAAATTTACAAACTGAGCTAAAATGATTAAATTTGTTACATAACTTGCATATTTTTCCTTTGGCAGGGCAGAGCTGTTGGCTCTCATGCTCATAGTTGCACCTCGAACACCTCTGTCTCGGCCGACTTCTGGACTCCTCTGAAACTCTCACGGCTGGTTTCCTTTGTATGGCATACACATTTGCTGCTGTATCACCTTGTCCATTACTTATCACCTTGTTTCGCTGCCTCGTACTCTCTGAACTGATGCACAGCTTTGTTAGATCCTCTAAGGTTTTGATTTGTTCTGATAACAATATCTTCTCTCGTAATGACTCTGAACTTATACCGCATGTTATTATATCTTTGACTAAAGAATTTTCCAAAATCTCTAACTCACATGAAAGTGCTAAGTTTTTCACTTCAACTATATAATTTTCTATTGTTTGTCCTTCTTTCTGCTTACACTTTAATAATTTATACCTTTCAAATGCTAAATTTCGCTTCAGGTTGAAATGGTCATCAAATTTTTCTATCAATTTTTCGAATTTGTCTACTTCATTTTCTTCAAACTTAAATGTGTTGTATATTCTTATACCTTCTTCACCTACGAATGTTAACAACTGTGCACATTTTGTCGCTTCCGGTTTTTTGTCCATTTCGGTAGCCTTTAAAAAAGTTAGGAACCTTTGCTTCCAGAAACGCCAATTTTCCGACAAGTTTCCCGAAAATACCATTGGGTGGATGCCTTTAAACTCCATTTCGATTGAATTATTGAATTTATATCGCAAAAAGTAATATGATTATTACAATAATTTAAAAACTTTTTCTTCATTCGCCAGTTCGCAGCGCCATGTGTTAATGATACGACAGTTGGTTGAACAATGGTTTATTAGTCATGTGTATGACTTGACATCTGACAAGGGTACGTTCCGTTACATTGCTGTTCGGGCATCATGACTAAATAACTGGGATGTCGCCTGTGGGTTCTAAGGAAAACACTTGTGAAAAATGGTTGGCCAGAACTTCAGCTGTTTCTTGATCATTATGACATAAGATTCCATCCGTTTTTTTAAGAAGCGGCCGATTGACACTTTGGAAGATAGAGGGTAAAATCATCATATCTTTTGGTTGTTTTAATTTTTTTCCACATATTTTTCTTATGTTTAATTAAAGTTAAAAGTTATCCATTAATCCAGGATTTTAATTTGTCTTGAGGACGTTTTTTGTATTGGCCTTCACAATTTCAGATAATATCTTTGTATGAAATAGTGTCCACATATCTTCTACTAATACAGTACTTCTAAAAAAAGTGATTCCAATCAATTTCGGAGAGGACTCTCTTTACGTTATTAAAGTATGTGACACTGTAGGTTACGTCCCTATTGGGATTAGAGGTTTCTATGTTAAATTGCATATTAAATATAATAAAGCCATGGTCAGATTTCCCAATAGGTGAGTGGACAGATGGGGAAATTAGAAGTTGGTCGTCATTTGTTAATTAGGCAGACCTTCAGCCGCCGATCTTCAGCAGCAGAACGTCTTCTGCAACAAATCATATAATCTCTTACGAGCAATTCATCGTTAACTCCTACATTGAGCTGAAGATCGGTTTAAACGCCTAGCATTTTAATTTACTACGCAGAGATCTGCGGCTTATTTTCGACGATTGAACTTCTGCTTAATGTGGTGCTAGCCTAAGAATTCAGACTAGGTCCTTATCGTCTAAGTTGTATAGGTACGCATATTTTTTAAAACCCATGAATTATTTATAACTGTTTATTTATAACTATTTTTTTTGTCGATCCCAGCGTAGCGTAGCGACGGCCGTCCTGAAAGAGTTAACCAAATACCAATCATTTGTCAGTGCGTTACTTTTTGTTATTTTTATCGACTTTTATTTATGAAAAATGTGTGACATGTACACATTTGTACGTATTATAATTTCATTTTAAAATTTGTACGACCTCTGATTAAAAAAAAGTAGGAACACTTTATAAACACAAAATATGTAGGGCATTGAACCTTAAGAAAATTGCTCTTTGATTGCTGCAGCAGTTCTTATTCGAGATTGCCGACCTGATAGTGTTATACAACAGGAAAATATTACTTTGTTGCCAGGAAATAGAAAAACGTTATTACTATGCTGAGAAATAATTTCTGCAGCCATATGGTGAATTATTAATAATTCGAGTTTATTGCGACCCACTTAGTTATATGTCTAAATTATATCGGCCTGATCGACCATTTTATTAAATTGATCAAATTTTATACAGGGTAGGGTAGGTATATGAAATACAGCAACATATTGAAATATTTTATCTTACTATTAAAAGTAATTATTAAATTTAACATGCAAATTGTTGATTGACATTATCTGTAATGTGTTAACCATAGATAATTATTATTAATTTATCTCTGGTGTTAACTACAAACACAATTAAATTATGTTGTACATAGAAGGTCTGAAATACGAAATTATCGCATACTAAACATTCTATTGGTTTTAATATGTCAATATATTTAAATTACACCCTGTATAAAATATGGGAACCAGATTATCGGATTGACTGAATAAAACTACTTTAAATTAAAAATTTATTAAATACAGCTACATATTAACTATTAACAAACATCAAGACTCAACTAATCATGATTTCTTAGTACTGGTCTTGCTTTTATATACTTATTTACAGAATTTGTATATGCTATTTACTCTCCTTTAATAGTTTCTAAATAATCAGCAGCTTCTCTACTAACTCTGTGGTACTTAGCAGCAACTGGTCTATAGTAGTAAGCTTGGTAGTCATTTCTTTCTGCCATTTTTTGTTTAATCTCGTTTTCTAGTAATCTGAAAATAATGTATTGTTTCAATTATATTTTATTATTTAAGTATTTAAACCCACCTAATTTTTGTTCTCTCTTGTTCCTGGAACACGTACGCTAGGTATTTTTCGTATTCTTGTTGTGGACTTTGGGTAACATATTTCGCAAGTAATCTAGTAACGGGATTCTAAAAAATTAAATAACTGAAGAAATTGCTAAGTAATTTTTTTTTAAACATACTCTGAAGTATTCCCACTCTTTAGGAGTATAATCCTTTGGTATTTCGGAAAGAGTCGATGGTCCAATGAATACATTAGCTAAGAAAATTGCCAACGTACATGGTATTATTCCTAGCATTAAATAATAATGAAAGTGATCCTTAAATTTAATGTATTGAAATCTGGAAGGCGCAAGAGGAAAGGTTCTATGTCCAGACATCAATCGTTTTGATGCTGAAAACAATTTTATTAAAATATTAAAAACCATAACCTAACTTATTACATAATTAAATACAAGTTTTCCACAAATACCTTCATTTTGTATAGTTGATATTGGCAGTCGCAATAAAGGTCTTAAGGTACTAAAAACTACCATTGTTATCTAATTTTATGGGCCGAAATTATGAATATATCTGATTTTTAATATTTTTGACAAAAACTTTCAATCAAAAATTTTTAGATGTCTGTTGTCATCTAGAAGTTGTCATTTGTCATATTTTTTTTGGATTGATAGCCGAAAGATACGAGACCTGAGACAAAAAAACAGAAAAGTAGAAGGCCACAAAAAATTATAAAGATGTAAAAACTAACCTCTAAAATTTTAAATCATTTCTATTATTTACATTTGAAAAGATGTTAATAGTTTTAAATTTTACAAAAAATTTTGAAGTATTATTAGTATAATTATACAAAAAATGTTGAATGGCGCTTCATTTATTTCAAAGTTATTAAAAATATGTCCATTAAAAAATAAAAATACAGTTAATTCTAGTATCCGGCATTTTCGAACATCTATTTGTAAGTTTTATTTAAAGTAGGTCTCACTGTTTATAATATTTTTATTTATTGTAGCCAATTATCATGGAGAATTTGAATGGCAAGATCCCAAATCTGAAGATGAAGTGTAAGTACAACAGGGTTAATTTTTTTTTAACATTGTTTTCTTCTATATGTCTATAAAATGTTCCACAAATCATTATTAATGAACATCTTTATTATATTTTTAGAGTAAGAATTACAGTAATATTAAAAACTGGAGAAAAAGTTCCTATCAAAGGCAAAGTAGGAGATAATTTACTATATTTAGCTCATAGGTATCAAGTTCCAATGGAAGGCGCCTGTGAAGCATCCTTAGCTTGTACAACTTGTCATGTTTATGTAAAAAGCAAGCATTCTGAGACATTACCAGCAGCCACTGAAACGGAGGAAGATCTTTTAGATATGGCTCCATTTTTAAAGGAAAATTCGAGGTTGGGATGTCAAATTACATTGACCAAAGATCTGGAAGGACTTGAGGTAGAATTACCTAAAGCCACAAGAAACTTCTATGTAGATGGTCACACACCTACACCACATTAGTAGTTTTGAAGTTCAAAGATCTTTTTGTTTTTAATCTAGCTGTAAATAAATAGATAATTTTACAAATTGTTGAATACTTCCTTACATTATTTAAAGTCGGAAATGCATAAAATGTTATGTTACTGATGAAAAAGTAATAAATATCTTCTCTGGTCCTATATATGTATATATACAATTAAATGTAAATAGTTAAAGTTAACATCAACAATAATTTTATTAATTTTGCATACTGAGATATGGCAACCTTGTGGACCTGTGTCTTTGACAGGATCAATGTTACATATTTATATAGATTGCTCAAAACTGGTCGTGTTGTGAGCGGCCATACTGCCTCGCAATTGCTCATTTAAGGCTGTATGTCACGATACTAAATTAATGCATTTTTTAAGTACTAAAAAAATTCACGTTGCAAACAGCAAATTTAGTGCTAAAAAAAGTCATTAATTAAGTACTAAAAGTGCGCCGAAATGTTGCGCAGAAGTTTTTCATAGAAAAAGTTGACACGACGGTATTTTCTGTACCCTTTTATTTTTAATTAGCGACAATTTTACATTATCGCCTTGAATAAAGTTCGCTTGTTTGATTTTGTAGGTTTTATTGTGTTTTTTTCGTGGTTTTTATGCTGTATTTGGTTGTTGTCAAGTCAACTAGTGTCAAATTGATAATAAAAACACCATTTACTTGTCTGTTTTACACATAATATTTCATTTCTCTGTTAATTTTACGTATTAATACGTCAATGCTCGTGCGCCTATAGTAAATTTAGTACTAAAAATTGGTATCGTTGCAAACGGAAAAAAAAATTTTTAGTTCTAAATTTAGTACTAAATTAATAACTTAATTTAGTGCTAAATTTAGTACTTAATTTAGTATCGTGACATACAGCCTTTAAATATTAATCAGGATTGGTTTAGTAAAAATGTGTTTTAAAACTAATATTGATATAAAAAGTGACATATCAAAATGATTTACTTTACGCAACCAGTTGTTTTTATAATGTTGAACATTATGAAACTGGTTTCGTAAAATTTATTAATTGCGAAAAGAAAATAAAAATGAACCACTTTTGGTTTTAATAATAATATACATTATTGAAAGTTTACATCAAAGGACAGTTTGACTTATACAAATAGAATTTGGTTAAACTTACAACACAAATAATTAAAACAAAATAACCCACTTTTTTGAAAATTAAATAACTTCAATAAGCGATATAAACACACTTCAAATATAAATAAAATGATGCATATGCAACTAACAATACAAAAAGGTAATATGGGTTGCCTAGATGCCAGTGATTTCTTATCGAAACAATTTTATATTCTAATCAAAATTAGAAAAATATTGTATGTAGCATGTTAAGGACCGATTCCACCGTTGTGTTAAATGGAGTTTAAAATGATACTTTTACATTAACAATGTCATTTTAATCTCCGTCTAACACAACGGTGGAATCGGTCCTATTAAATGCCGTTTTATGTAACTCGTTCATGTTGCGGGACCTCGCTCTGCTCATTCCGCAAATATTCACTTATTACATAAAATAATGAGGCATTTCGTAACTGGTTTTATAAATAGCTATTTCAGCCTTTAAATATAGTAAAAAAACTAATTACCTACCTACACTTTTACTTCAAGGCATAAGCTTATATTATTTTGATAAACATGGATGATCAATCTATATAACTATCTATATTATGGACCCTGTCAAATCACCACATTGTTGCCATATCTTAACCTGCCTTTTTTTTTCAACGAACTCTCGTCCTCGTCACGTATGATGTTTAAGTAATAATTATTGTGCAACAAGTGCAGAAAGTAACCAATTACACACGATGTGTGATTTGTACAATCATATAATTGTGGATTGCTCCGTGAAGATTTTTCAACGTTTTCTTTTTTACAATCCAAAACAAAGTTGGCTGAATAATTTTGCAGAAGAAGGTTAAAAAAGAACGAGAACGATCGTCATGCCCCATAACAGGAGTTTAGTTAACTAACGAGACATTTGAAGTGAAGAGAGAAAAGCGAGTTTCCGCTTCCTTTTCGTCAAAAACCGTAGCCATGAAAGCCAAAGGAGAGGTTAGTAATTATTTTTTTAATTAAATGAGTACATATTCCATGAAATTTTATAGCATCCTGCTTTATTTCATGTTAGTCCTTTTATTTAACTTATTTTTTGCAAGTTTTTGTTATTACCAATAAAGCTAACATTTGTACAATATTGCACACGTGTGTTTTGTATACCGCCTAATTTAATATACCATTTTCATTTTAGTTGAAGGAATATGAAGTCATCGGGCGTAAGTTGCCCACTGAAAAGGAGAAAAACACTCCTTTATATAAAATGAGAATATTCTCTCCCGATCCAATTGTGGCTAAATCACGTTTTTGGTATTTCTTGAGGCAACTTAGGAAGTTTAAGAAAACAACTGGTGAAATCGTATCCGTTAGACTAATACCTGAAAAGACTCCAGTTAAGATAAAGAATTTCGGTATATGGTTGAGGTATGACTCCCGGTCTGGAACACACAACATGTACAGGGAATACAGAGACCTTAGCGTCTCTGGAGCTGTAACAGCTTGCTATAGGGATATGGGCGCCCGCCACAGAGCTAGAGCTCATGCTATTCAAGTAAGTACAGTTATATTAATTATAATTGCATACACCTAAATTTCTTTGATTCCACTGGAATACTGGTAGTGAATGTTTAGTTGGTCAAAACTGAGCATATGTAATTGTAGCTATCACTATATAGCAACAAATAATCTTAGTTCCATGCCTTGTGCAGATTAATGACAACTAATTTTTTTGAATAAAAATATTTCACATAATGTCTTAAATCAAAGGTCAGAGATACCATTCTTACATTTTATACTGTTGCCAAGTTGCATAAAAAATTTACTAACCCATTATTCAAATAGTACAGCAATAATTATTCTTGCCCTAACAATATTTTACATTATAACCATTGACATTGTATTACCCACCCAGCATTACCTATCCACCCCCATTTCTATAAAATTGTTAAAGGTAATTGAAAAAAATGGCAAATTTTTGTTTAAAAAATTGTGTTATTTATTTCTATAAGATATGGAACTCTGATTTTTTGTTTACAGTAGCGATACCTACAAGTAAGTTTACTTAGTTTTTCATAATCAAAAAGAGTCAAACTAGGTATGTTCAGTTTATACTTTGCCACTTATAAATAATGTATACATAGCTTTGGATACATTTTCCTGAATATCATGTTGGGTACATGGACAAGGAACAAAATTTAGATAAATTAGGTTAATTTTTATGTTATTTTACCCAAGCAGAACAACTAGTTTCTTTATCATAAAAAATTAGGGTTAGTTATGATTAATTTGATGTTTCATAATTTTTAGAAGGTTCTTTTATATATGTATATCTAACTAATTATTTATTCACAAAGTAGGAAGTCAGACTTTTTTTTAATAGTTGGAACTACATTACTCCCAATGATGTTGATGTTACCAACATTTTTTAATATGAGAAGAATAATTTTTTAATCTTTTTACTGAGAAATGTTTTTTTTTTACTATAGCACTATGGTATCTCCTGCTTATTTATTAAATATTTGAGTAGGTCGAATCGGTGCAATATTAAACTCTAGGTATACTGCATCGTTAGAAGTTGACTTTTTAATAGTCAATTTCCTGGTTTTTAGTGCCTTAACACTTTAATTTTATATTTCATCTATTATAATAAAATTGGTCTTATAATAGCTTTGAAATAATTTTCATTTCATAACTGTTCATTGTTTTTTTTAATTTAATTTCAGATCATCAAAGTGGAACAGGTTAAAGCATCTGACACCAGGAGGCCACAAGTTAAACAATTCCATGATTCAAAAATTCGTTTCCCACTACCCAAACGTATTCAACATAGGTCAATGAATCGTTTCTCTGTCCGCAAACCCAGAACATACTTTTTGTAATATGTTAAATGCTGTGGATAAATAAATTCGTTTATATATTCTTAGGTTTATTTGTGTTTTCTTTTTAAAATTAGATTTTTTAAATACAACTCAATACCTAATCTAAATTAAAAAAAATGGCTAATATTCTGTTTAGTCCCAGAAGTAGATACATATATTTTTCATTACTCTTAATTTTATTTATGACATACATTGATTAGAATAAAACATCACAGGAAGGGTATTAATGTTAAAACAGATAAGACTTTTTGTACTGGTTACCACAATCAAAACATTCACAAGGAATATAACTAAGTTTCATCCATGAATTCAATATTTTTAAATTCAAAATAAATTATTAATTTATAGGTGTATTTTGGTTATCACATCTTACATAAAGTCAGTGTTCTGAAAATAAGGATCACCAAAAAAGGCTACTTGCTCAATTAAGGTGGTGCTATGTTTAAGAGCTCATTAAGCCATTGTTTCAGGGTGTTTATCTCTGAATTGTGGCAAAAGTTCAACAAAACGCCGATTGAGGAATCCAACTTTGTAGAGTAGTCCATTCAGAGTGTCTTCCATGTAAGCCTGTCGGCGCCACTCTAATTGTGGGAGCAGAAGTTCAGATTGTGCAATTCGTGACTCCAAAGTTCTGATCTTTTGTTGGACAGCATCAACATAAGCATCTTGCAAAAGATTTGCTGTTTGTCTATCTGTAATATTAATGTTAGTATTTAAATTGTAATTAAAAATTACACATGACATACCCTTGTAAGAGATATTTGTAATATCGATTTGGAAGTACCTAAAATAAACTTTTTAAATAACTATAAATAAAATCCAATCAAAAATTACCTATCTGGTACATTAGGATCTGCCAGAAATGATATGGGAATAAGGGTACCATCCCCATTTCGAATTTTCATAACTTTTTCGTTGGTGACATTGCATATTTTAAGAAGTTCTAACTTTAAATGACTAGGGTCTACATATGGTGCTATTTCTATAGTTTTCTTTATAATATTGGGATTATCAGCTGTTGGAATAAAGAAACATCAAAAATAAATATAAATAACAAAACGTTGACTTACTTGATACGTCGTAATACTTAATTTTTAAATGTATTGTCCGTTTATTAAATTCCATTCTATCTTTTGTCGATTACAATTAAGAAAACTAAGAATAATTGGAAACCTATTTTCTTATTTATATTATGACCAATGACAGTGACAGGGTGACAGCTATTTCATGAAAGCAACAGTCAACACTTATTACATCTGCTTGTATAAATTATTGCATAAGTACTAGGAGTAGGAAAACCAGATCTGCTTTAAATTACTTTAATATTATCGTTATCTGTAATATTATGTAAATAATTAATTAAAAAAACAAAACAAATAAAATCATGCAACCATTTATTGTGATTTGAGGTAAATGTGAATTTTAAAGAATTATAATAAAACATTTTAGCAGTGTCTACTCAGGCTACGGAATGATAAAATTTGACAAATTTAATTTTAAGCTTGGAATAGAATAAAACAGCTATAACTACTGTTTATTGAAGTTATTCTAGGAATAATACATAAAACAAATAAGAAATATGTTTAATGAACACAAAATAACATTTAAATTTTAAGGATAAACCGGATAACACTCGTATAAATAGTCGATCGCCAGAGATTAATCTCGGCGTACTAGCGATCCGCTGGCGAAAGTCCGAAAAGGTGGCGACTTGCTGGAGATTGTCACCGGCATCTCTCGCATGTTATTCATTATTCATTTCTTAAAACTCAAAAAACAATGAACGAATATAAAATTTTTCTCTATAAAAGAACATAAAAACTAATTTTTCCCTATAAAAGAACATGCAAACTTGCGAGAGATGACATGCCGGTGACAATCTCTAGCAAGTCGCCACTTTTTCGGGCTTTCGCCAGCGGATCGCTGTTGATAGAATACCGCCGAGATGAATCTCTGGCGAATCGCTGGCGATCGACTATGCATACGGCTGTTAATGTAGTAGTCATTTCCAAGTTAACAAAAATCATGGAACAAAAACAAATTGAATGCACTTTAGAGAGTGAATATTTAAGAGACACGAACCAACCCGAACGTTGATTGCTAATACAGTGTTGTCATATGTATGCATATTAACGCGAAACTGATTGTGAACTCCCTATTTTTGTTTTAATGAAATTTCTGCATTATCATTAATAACTACTTCTACGTGTATATTACAAAAAAATTGATAGCTATAGGATTTTGAGACACATTATTATTAGTTTAAAAATTTAGATGTACCTTTAAATTATTGTTTTAATTATATCTTCTTTGTTTTTTGAACAATTTGGCATCACTCGGTTCGCATAAGAGCTCGTGATAGGTCGTTAATCATTGATCTAACATCTAGGAGATAACCTAAAACACCTAAAAACATTTCTGTTTACTTCTGACTTTTTGACTTTTGATTCACATTTTGTTGTTGGGAGTGACAGAGGTGTCGTGTTAGTGCTCTTAAAAACATGACTTAAAAGCCGAGCAATGTGAATATTTTCACATTTATTTTAACAATACTCAGTGCCATGTATTTAACATTAAATTATAGTGTACGGTGCGAGAAAAAATGACGGTTCCTACGAAAATCGCGATTTCTAAAGTGTACAACTTCACGAAATCTTCACTTTACAAAAGATACAAAAATTTCTTCTTTGTGCTGCTCATAATTTCTATATTTATAGCTCTTTCCGTTCCTTTAGCAAATCTCTCCAGTGATGTATCTAAAAGTTATGAGAGAATTGATTTTAGGAACTTAAAAAATCTACCTCTAGTGAAATTGACGAATAGTGTTAGCATAGTGACTCCTAAAAATTCCCAGTGCACCCATTGGGACTGCTTTAACATTTATAGATGTGGTCATACCGGACACGATAGGATAGCAGTGTATGTGTATCCCCTTAGAAAGTATGTGGATGAAAGGGGGGTGCCAGCCACTGAACATTTATCTAAAGAATATTATCATTTACTTAATACTGTGATCAAGTCGAAATATTACACAGCTAATCCTGAGGAGGCTTGTATTTTTATTCCATCCATTGATACTCTCAACCAAGACAGACTTAGACTGAATTTAACTTCAAGAGCCCTTAGTTCCCTTCCATAGTAAGTAATTCTTATACATAGGCTAACTAAGGTACACTAACCATAGTATTATTATTATTTTGACCACTAATTTATGTTTACACACACAAAATTTTTCCCTCTGGTTATTTTAGCTCTTACTTTGGACTACAAAAATGTTTACCGATAATTACTATCTTGTATATTTTACTTACCAAAGGACAATGAAAAATATGTTCTAAATTATCAATAAACTACCCTATGTAATAAAATTTTATTAATGTAAAATAATTAAGGGTAAAACAACAAGAGATTGATAATTTTTTAAGAATATTTTATTGTTTCTTTGGACATTTACAAAATTTGTAAAGAAATAACGGAAACAACAAAATGTTTTCCAAACAATTCTCAATTCACATGGTATTTAGAAAGATTATTTAACAATATAACATAACTTTTATAAACAATATTTGATTTGTTACTGTAAGATGAAGTTGATTCTATTTTTAATGGCTCCTATACATGATTGGCTGTGATGGGACATCATTGATCCCATTATTGTGTTGTCATTCACATGATCGCCTGTGTTCATTTTTTTTCTATCCATTGTTAATATGTTAAATTATTCAAGAATGGCTTCTAGTACCTACACTTAAATATAAATGGACTGTGTCAGCTCTCAAAAGCCACTACAGATGATTACCTTTAATCCATGTGTGAAACACTGATAACCCATTGATTACAAATGAGTACTGCCAATCAAAGCTGATCACCGACAAATAGATTCTCCACATGATGGTACTCTTCTGTGATGGCCCATGATGGCAGATCATGTATAGGAGCCATGGAATGTATATTTCAACAACCAAAACAATTTATGTCCTTTTTTTGTCACCTTTTTGACATTAGAAGAAGAAAAAATCTTTATTGGGGATAATTCCAAAGGGTTATCAATCGAAGTCTTTCATATACAATTTTTAATCCAACATTTTTGACAAACTTCACAATGAATTTTCATATAAATCATTGATACGTTTCACTGGTAAAGAATTACATTTTTTAAATACAATCTTTTTGACAAACTTCACATTTTCATTTTGCATAAATCAGTGGTAATATGTTAACGCTGGTAAATTTGATTAAATCTGCATCATGGAGTGTTTTCAGATACAGTTTGTTTTGATTGACCAGAAATACGGTTTGTGATATAAAGTTGGAACCATACTGGAATTTTTTTCAAATACTATGATAGGGCAGTCAGTTATACTTATTTAAAAACTTTAAACATCACATATTGAAGTTGGCTACTGACATTTGATATCTGTTAAATCAACAAAAAATCATTTAAAAGCATCCAGAAAAGTCCATTTGCTTTTGAATAGATAATTTCAATATTCGTAAAAAATAACCAGAGTGTCAAATATTATTAACAAAAATTGGTATGGAATTGGAAAACTTTCATCTAGACTGTAGACTGTAATCTGTTCTTTTAAAGAAGATACCTTGTGATGAATTTCCTTGAAGTGCAGACAGTAGACTTGCAAACGTCGAATCAAAGCCACATGCAATACAGAATTAGAATAAATACATGATTCCAACAACCAAAAATGATTATTTCAACTTCTAAAATAAACATACTACTTAGTAAAAGTTACTTTTAATATTAATCAAAGTCAGATTATCACTCAACATCTCAATGTACTCATCAACTTTTTAAAACCATCTACTGGCTCTTCCTCTTCAGGTCTATCATCTTCTGTTTGGCTGAGTTTTCTTACATGAGAAACAGTTTTGGAACTACTGCTTTCATTATATCCTTTTTTTAGGGTATTTATCAGAACCTCAGGTAAATACCCAGTTTTTATTTACCCTACCCACTGGGTATTTACCTGGACTACATCACTACATTTTAAGCTCTTGAAATGTTATAAAACATTTTAGAAAAATGTACTATTTTCTTTGTTAACTTCAAATAAAACACCTCCATCATTAAAAAAAAGGGATTCTATTACACCTTTTTGATATTTGTAAAATACAAGGAACAAACATTTTCTGAATAACATAAAAAATATGGCATATATTTCAAATCAAAATTAAAGGTGCTTTTCTTACTTTATGTATTCAAAACTAGCAAAGCATATTTCAAGAGCTCTAAAATAGCCTAAAAATGTGGCACAGTTTTTAGAAAACTCATTAAAAAATCTGATGTGTCCAACACATGACTTTCCTATCTAGTTATTATAGGCTTTTTCAGGTTATTTTGTAGAACCTATTGCAGCGCCTCTATAAATGTTAAGAGGATAAACTAAATATATACATTTTCCACATACATCTACCTTAAACATTTTTCTATAGATATTCATTGAAAACGAAAATACAAAAAAAATTTAATTTAGCACTTTTCCTACAATTTTTCCATTACGGTCCATTTTAGAAAAAATGTATAAACAAAAATTATATAGATCGATATCGCAAACAACTTTTAGTTCAACAATTTTCATAAAAATCAGAATTTTGCACATTTTGTCAAATTTTTCGAATACGGACCATTTCAGGAAATTTTGACATAAAGTAAAAATTATAGATAATATTAGAAGTAACTTTTATTTGAACAATTTTCTTCTCCAAACATAAATAACAGATATATTCCATAAAATATAAAAACGGCCTCCCATATAGTACCCCCCAGATGTTCCGACTTTGTCCAAAATCTAATCATTTCATGTCAGGCCGAAATAAAACTTAAGTTTAAAATTTAATGTTTTTTTCTTTATCAGTTTTTGAGTTTTCTTCAAAATTCGAAATTTACACATTTTCTCAAATATCTCGAATACGGTCCATTTTAGAGAAATTATGTATAGGATAAAAATTATAGAGAATTATATTACAAACAACTTTTATTTTAACAATTTTTATAAAAAATTATTTTTTTTACATTTTGTCAAATTTTTCGAATACGGACCATTTTAGGAAAATTTTGTATACAACAAAAATTGTAGATAATAATATTAGAAGTAACTTTTATTTGAAGAATTTTCTTCTCCAAACGTAAATAACAGATATATTCCATAAAATATAAAAATGACCACCAATAAAGTATCCCCCCAGATGTTCCGACTCTGCCCAAAATCTAATCAGTTCATTGGACGCTGGAATAAAGCTTAAGTTTAAAATTTGGTGTTTTTTTGTGTATCGGTTCATGAGTTATGGTGGATACAGACACACACACACACACAGACATCATCGCGAAAATAGTCAAAACGGATTCAGGGGACCTCAAAACGTAAAAATCCGTTGAAAACTCGAGGTCGAAAAAAATCATGATTCATATACTTTCCTTATATCTGTATACAGATAGGAAAGTAAAAATGAAGATGCACTACTGGTTTCTAGAAGAGCACACTTGATATTTATAATATACAAGGACCAAAAATGTTTAAATAGGGTATAAAAATAGTCTAAAACATAAAGAAAATCGTGGTACTCTGCTGCTTTCATTCAAAGTTAGCAAAGTATTTTTAAAACATATCAAAGTTTTCTGAAATGTCTTATAATATTTTAAAAGCCTAAAAAAAGGAAGTGCATGGCTGGATTACATCAGAGCACTTTTTTTTTTTCGATTAATGGCCTAGGTGTATATAGCTAATATGCCAGTCTCAAGTTTGTGTTTAAATTCTCAATCATGTGTGTTCAGTGTAGGCTTCGTTACTGTTCCCCAGCGCCACTTCAGGAACATCACTGTTAATTAGAACCCAACAGTGAATGGTCGAGTGGGAAATCCTCGGGGAAATCCTACCAAGGCATCAGAATTAATTTTAAATAATGAAATTAAATAAAAAATCCTGGCCAACGGTGGGATTCGAACCTCGGACCCTTGGATCCGCAGGCAAAGACTCTACCACTGAGCCACCCACCCCCTCTCAGAGCACTTTAATATTTGTAAAAAGCAAGTACCAAATTTTTTTTGAATTAGGTATAAAAAAGGGTAAAAACGAGGTAAAAATGAGGCATAGGTTTTAACTCAAAATTCCATAGGAGCTCTGCTGCCTTCCTATGTTTGTGTGAACCATTTTTCCAAGAGATATTGGTGACATCATTGTGTTACTCATACCTACCTAAATTTAGGTAGGGTCATGGCACTACTTATGGCCATTACCCTACTTATGGCCACTTCTTGCTTTAAGACCTAAAAAATAAACGTTTGGCAACATTGTAAACAAAAATGGTGGTTGGAGAAGGTAAATGAGCATGTTGTTACATGATTGTGCAGGTTTGCAACTAATAAACCAAATCCATTAGAAATCAGTAAAATAAATAGTTAGCATGTGTATTATATGCCAACCATTACTTGTTGTTTTGGCTAAGAATTTATCTGTAAACATTGGAACAAAACTCAGATTTATTAAGGATATTTTTTAAAATTTTCCATTTCAAAGGTAAGTAGATGTTAATACCCAATGTATTTTGTTTTCAACATCATATTTTTTTTTTAAATAAAAATAAATATCAGTGTTGCCACTAGTAATGACCAGAAATTAAGAATTCGTAAGTTATGGCCTCAAGAGTGTCTAAAAGTAAAATCTCATATGTTGTATGCCAAACTATGGAGAATGAAATAGAAATCTAGTGCTTAAAAAGCATAAAGAAAAAACTACGTTTGGATGTATATTGAAAATGAGATTTCCACTGGTCCCATATTTGATGTTTTAGGACTGCATTCTCGAGTAGAAGAAGGTTGAAAATTGATTTTAACATTTTTAGAAAGTGTTAAGGTACCATTTGGGAAGGCGAGACCGATACCGACTTCAAGCGACAAGGCAGCTAACTAAAAGTGCTGTCGTCGGTCGCGCCTTCCCAAAAGTGTTTCAGACGTTTAGAGACCGTTTTCGGTCTCCTATCGCTGTCACTTTGAACTTGAACTTGTCACTTGAAGTCGGTCTCGGTATCGCCTTCCTAAATATTACCTTTAATGTTCATGAAAAATAAATTTCATATTTTAGCAAAAATTTTAATTTGTTATACCCTATCTATTCTAAATCACT